CACGCACCGCGGGCTTGGGCCTGGGGTCGGAGACGGGACTTGGGTCCGGAAGGGCTGCTGAGAGCGCAGCTGGAAGCCTGGGTGTCGAGGGCGCTGCTGAAGGCTCCTGGAGTGGGCGAGCTGACTTTCCGGGGGACCCGCCGAGCAGAGACGGAGTGGGATCAGGGGGTGCAGAGGCCTGCCCCCAACCCCCACGCCCGCCGCGGCACTGAGCTGTGTGCTGGAAAAGCCACTCCCAGCCCCCCTCTCCGCCCTCGCTTCGCCTCACCCCTCCCGCAGCGGCGCGGTCCCCTCCCTGGGAGCACTTAGATGCTAATGGGCCTCTGCCCACAGCGCCCTCCCCTCTCTGAGGCCCTGAGAAGCTGGGCGCCTGTCCTGGACCCAGGCGCCTTCTCCCAGGGCACACCCCGGAACAGCCTCCTGCGGGCGCAGCAGACCCCTCTGGCCTGAATGTGAAGGCCGCCCCCCCACCCGTGGCCTCAGGCCGGAAACTGCCTGCTGGCTGTTGCCCCAGAGGGTGCAAAGCCTCCTGGGCTGCCCGAAGGAGGGGGGCTGAGCTGTCTGGGGGGAGCAGGTGCCCTCAAATCTGTGTTCCAGGGCTGGCCGGGAGGAGGGGAACTGAACGTGCCTGGGCACATGGATGGGTGGGGGCTGCAGCCCCTCCCGCAGGGCTTGGCTGGGGGGGCTCCTGCCTGGGGGCCCCTGTGGGATCCCCCCAATATAGAGACAGTAGCGGCAGCAGGTTTAAAGTAGAACTCATCCAGAGGGGCCAGTCAAGTCACCCTAGAAACCCAGAAAGAGCAGAGCTGGTTCTGGGGGAGGTGGGTCAGCCAGGAAGAAGTGGTTTCTGCAGGCCCCCTCTGCCCCAGGGTGCTCAGCAGCCCCCCTTGAGGGGAGCTGGGCCCAGAACTGGTCAAGCTCCGGTCCCCACCACATCGGGCACCATCTCCAACCTAGGGAATCTGGCCCCCATGGAGTACAGGATTATCTCTCCTTGAGGCTCAGAAGAAGGGAAGGGACTGGCTCAAGGTCACACAGCCTTGACTCCCTGACCTTGGGAAGGCAAAGAAAATGAGCGGGCCCTTTCGTCCTGGTTCATTTTATCACCCCACGACCCCAGACCCCACTGGGGGAACAAAGCCAGGTAGAGTGGAGGCTGTCGTCCTTCATGGGCCTGGTGCTGCCGCTTCGAGCACACGCTGCCTCTTGCCACCCACAAGAATCTGGCCTCTCTGGGCCTCAGCCACTGGTGGTGGGGGAGGACTGAATGGGGTTGGGAGAGGTGACCCCCTGGCGAAACAGCTTAACATCCAGGAGTAGGTGGGACACAGGTGGGGGGATGGGGGAAGGTGGCACCAGTAGGAAGTAGGTCGGCTTGGGACAGGGGGGCCTGTGCAGCCAGTGCCCGAGTGTGTCCCTAGACCTTGGCAGGTGTCACAGAAGTGCGGGCAACAGCTGCTTAGAAAACAGGATGGGAATCTGTTTCCTGGGCTCCGCTGCTTCCCCTCCCTGTCCACCCCATGTCCCCTGAGGCCAGGACAGGCCCCGTGGCAGCCTGGAAACCCCCATTAATCCTTCTTCCTCGGACATTCCCAGTCCTGGTAACTAACGGTAATGGGACTCTCAGCAGTAGGCAGTAATGGTGGAAGAAAGGGAGGCTGATTTTGCGCCTTGATTGAGTGAGCACTTCCCTCAGGACCCTCCCTTCCCACAGGAGGCGAGGCTGTAAAGCAGCTCTCTGGTGGAAGGGAGCCTAAAAGCCCACCCAGCCGCAGAAAGTTTCAGGCAAGGTTATGAACGCTGGCCGAGGAGTGGGCGCCCCAGCCCAGGACGCCAGCGTCATCATTGGAGGTCAGCATAATCAGGATGACTTGCTCAGGGCCTCTCAGCCTATACGGTCAGAGCCAGGCTTTGAATCTAGTTCTTCCTCTCCAGGGGAGCCCTGGTGGTATAGTGGTTATGCGCTGCTACCTACAGGGTCAGCAGTTGGAAGCCACCAGCGATGCTCCGAGAAAGATAGATAAGACTTTCTATTCACGTGAAGAGTTACAGTCTCAGAAAGCCACACGGGCACTTCTACCCTGTCCGATAGGTATGCTGTGAGTCGGAATCTACTCGATGGCAGTGGATTGAGAGTTGAATTCTTCCCCTCCCAGCTAAGAGTCCAGCTGCAGAGAGGAAGGGTCTAGATTAGCACGCCAGGCCTAGCCTCACCAACTATTCCAGGATGGGTGGCTGGGAGAAGACAGGGAAGGGAGTTGAGGGCCCCCAGGAACATCCCACCCTGGCTCCTTCCAGCCTGCCCTGAGACCCCTCAAAGGTCAGAGGCTGATGACCCCTGACATCTGGACAGGACAGGCTTCCATACCAGCCCTAAGGGGAGGAGGGACTGGGTCACAGAGCTTCTTGGGGACAGAACGTGATCTGGCATCCAGGGCTCAGTGGTCTGCAGGCTGTGAGGTATGACTTCACCCCTCCTGTGGGTGAGCACCCCTGAACCTCAATCAATTGGAGTCTGACACACCCCGGAAGGTGAGGTAGGGGAACTTGGACTTGTGCAGAATGCTCCTCCCCTCATCGCAAGCTCTCCAGGGGAGAAACTCCCTGTGGAAAGGGTGGGCTAGAGCAAGGGTCGGCTCTTCCATTTCTCCTCAGGCTGGGTGACAGGTAGCTGAGGCCAGAAAGAGGGGTGGGAACCCCGGGAGCAGGATGGGCTGTCGGGGGCTGGGACAGACACACTTAGCACTTCTCAGACCCCGGACACTAAGGTTCTTGGAGCATGCTTGGGGCTATAAAGGGTGGGGAGTCAAGTCGGCCATCCTGGAAGTGTCTGTGCCGGAGCTGCACAGTCTTATTGGGGGATGTAGACAGGGGATAGGGAGGAGATGAGAGGCTTAGCAGTGGGGGGTCTGAGTCACAGGTTCAAGAAGTCCCAGCTTCTTGTGGGCATTGAAATCTTCAGGATCTGTAGTGTGGGGTGGTCACTGAAACTTCCACACATGTTCTCACTGACTGAAGAGAAGGTGGCACAGAAGGAACCACCCACTCCTTCATTCATCCAATCAAGAATTATCCAGCTCCCGAGGAGAGTCTCACAAACTTCCAGGTGTGAAAGTGGGGGAGGGGGGCGAGTTCAGGTACCTAAGCCCATGCAGGTGAGTTGATGCCCAGGAGGCCGACTCAACCAGTCATAAGTAGGGATCAAGGTCGACACCGTTTGGGTCCCACGGAGCTCGGAATCCAGGAGTGGGCGAAGGTAAGGAAAGACGAATGCGAGACCACTTCAAGATACAGAGCATCAAAGCGGGTGAGTTGGCTTGAGAGGCAGCGGTCAGATGGAAAGGACAGAAAGCGCCGCAGGACAAAGACCTAGGGGACAGCAAGCACCAGACCTGGCTCCAGAACAGGTTGGGTGTGGGGTCCCGGAGAAGCGCTCCCGACAGGGCGTGCTGTTATTATTATCATCTTTATTATCAGGAGTCCTGGCTCGGCCACTTCCCAGCTGGTGGCCTGAGGTTCTGCGTTTGTTCACAGGGTGCGGAGACCGGTGCCCTGTCAAGGCCAGTGGTAGGAGGGCGCCCCGAACAAGTTCGGAGCTTTCCGGCCAGAGCACGGCCCCCCGGGGGTGGGGTCGGGCAAGGCACGGCCACGCGGAGCTGGCCCCGAGAACTACTTCTCCCAGAGTGCCGCTCCTAGTCGCCATCTTGCCTGGTGGGCGGTGGCTGCCCGGGATCGAACCCTGAGGTCGCCGGGCCGCCTTTGCCCCCTCGACCCCCCTACTCCTACCCCAGCCTTTTCGGTAGAGCGTGCATGACCCCGCTGTATAAGGCGATCGGTGATCCGGGAAGCTTCTGCCCCTCTTCTCCCTGCACGGCCCCGGGGCGCCGGGTCCACGTGCTGGCCTCTCGCTGGCTCCGGACCAGACGCCTAGTCGCCCCCAGCTCCCCGGACTCCGGCTGCGCAACCCAGTGTCCACTCCCCTCCACTCAGCCGGCCGCACTGGTGCCTTAATGGGGACCACACGCCAGGGTCATCAAGGGGCGGAAATCCCGGTCGCGGGCGCTCCGCGCGCTCGGGTTTGGAGC